CCCCCCCGAAAAAACATTCTTGCAAAAGGTCTTCATGAAAATAAGAGTCAATGCAGCTGAAAGGGTTTATACGGAAAAGGTAACTGTATTTTTTTTGCTAAAGGCAATCAGAATTGCCATCCATCCATGTATTTAAGAAACACCAACACAGGCACAATTAAAACCTTCTATTACACAGTGAGGACCAAGCAGTCCTCATTCTTACCCCAGAGTTCCCCGGCCTGACATGGGAGGACTTGGTGGTTTTTGTGTAGGCGGATTTGTTCTTGACAAGGTGCCAGTTCTTGCAGGCTGGTTATTTCCATGCTGAAATAAGGGAAAACATGATTTTATTTTTATAACAGCAGCTCTATTATTGACAGCTTTTCTTTTTAAATGTAAGAATATGAAGTGAGAATTCCCAGACAGCTGTCAAACAGCAAGTTTTCAGCTACACACAAGACAGACACCAGTAAATACAAAGAGTCTAAATACAAGCTCAATGTTACTTTTGCTATTAATTTAAAACAGACATCAGAAAGGTTCATGCACAAATCTTGTATATCCTCTTTTTCTTTAAAGGGAATTTGTGTTCATCTCCGTTCAGGTGTTAATAATTTAAAACAAACTTTACCACTGACAATACAATACAGTCAGCATGGCCCCAGAATTTTTCAATTTGCCCCTGCTATTTGACTAGCAGAGTCATTCAGGTTGTCTGGGAAGTCTCCTGCAAAAAATGTAAGTGAAGGGAATCAAGGCATCTACTGAATTCAGAGCAAAGCACTACATGTGTTAGAGAAATTAATGTATCTATGTATAAACGCAGATGTCAATGTATCACAGATACATTGACACGTCAAACGCTGTAAATGAAAAAAATCAAGTATAGCACGTTTAATCTAAATATCCTATGGAAAGCAGAGGAGAGCATAAGAGAGCGCTAGTTTTCAGTTTTAATGGCTCTGCAGCCTCTACTATCAGTCATATGAGGCACTGTGGGTCAAAGGATAAATAACACTTCTTACCTTGGCTTTTAGCCACTTAACGTTGGCAAAAAAGGGGGGGAAAAAGGTAGAAATTAATGGCAGATCCATCACAACTGACAGGACAGGTTAAACTACAGATAATCACATTTAAAAAAAAAAAAAATAAATCACACGTCTACTGATAATCAGCTACATTCCAGTACACTAACAGAGATTTTTAATGGCTCACTTAGTCATTGGAAGTTCTGTGTTTAAGTGCCCACAGGAAACACTTGTGTCAAAATTCACTTTAGCTAAGCTTTGCCAGGCTCCTCATGGGCAGTAAAGGGTTGAAAAGCCCTTTGCTGACCATTCAAATTCAAACCCAAATCAATGCTATTTCAATAGCAACATGCACTTAATTTGTTTACAAAACCACAGTTTCAGCTATACCATGCAAAATAGACTTGCCTGGTTTTGACACTTAACCTTCACGTGTTTTGAAGAAATCCTAGCTGCTGCATTGAATGGTAAAGAAAGAAAAGGGAGTTCTCAAACAGGATAAGCAGCAGTGCCTTTCACCTCTGGTTTATTGATTGAAATCTGATTCAAGACAGCACAGCGCTGGCTGCTCAAAACTGTGTTGGCAGTGCTCTAACAATTGTTATTCTGAAATTTTACCTCTTAGAATCAACTCTACCATATCGTTTTTGCAGCCTTCATGATTGCAGAGGAAAACAAAACAAACAAAAAAAAAACCACGAAAATTTGACCTCATAAGGAAAACGAATGTAAAAGCTTAAATAAATTCAAGTTGAGCTCTCTACTTGTACGGAGGGGGGAGGACTCATGTTCTTCAATGTTGAAAATGTTTTTAAAAAACCGAGCAAAGCCAGAACTCCAAAATATAAAATAATCCCAATGCTTTTTTTGAGGTGGTTTGGAAATAAACTGCCACTTCCAGAACAAGCACAGCTTTCCAAACTGCCATTTGCACCTTCTTCTCTTCCTTCTCTAAGACACTTAGACCAGCTTAAAGGTATGCATGAACTCTCTAAAATAATTAAAACATGCTATACAGCAATGTGCATATGTGAGATTTCTGACAGGGTTTGCAAAACCACTGAAAAACAGCTGGGGTTTACGAATGAAAAGAGATTGCAATCCACTGCCCTTAAGTTATTCATATTATAAGAACAGAAACATAAAACCTCCTCCAAAATTCAAATGAAAAAGTTTAGCTGTCTGGGCAGAGGTTCATAAGCAGAGTGGCAGAACTAAGGCATTTAAACCACTTCTGTCCCCACATACTTATTTCATGGATAAACATGAAGGCTCAGTTTCCAGGATGCCAGGATAGTCCTCCAAGCAATAAATTCTTAAAACAGGCTTTTTGCAATGAAATTTGCTTACCCCTCTCACAGGAATATGTGACCCTTCCCCTTTACTTCACCAGTTGCTAAGGGCAATGGCATAATACAAGGTATTTGTTAAAAACAGACCAAAAAGTGAAACTCTTGGCCCTGTCCCTCCACAGCAGTCATAGAAACCTTTGAAAGGTTTAAAAAGAAGGGTGGCATGGTTGCTTACCCAGCCCGTACTACTAAATTTGCCTGCCTCAAGAATATAAAACCAAAAGCTTCCTCTCTTTCCTTCCCTTATGCAGTGTCACTGAAGCAGTCATGGTGAATCGCTCCACCTCCTCCTTAATCACTGTTACATTCTGCCTCCGCTGCAGGGACAATATGAATATCAACATCTAGCAATGATTCAGGAATCTTCATCTTATTTCAAACCTTTCTACTGCTAAGTACTGTTTAACATACTAAACATATATCCAACAAATCCAACAGCTCTTGACCCTTATTCCTATCTCTACCACTACATCAGGTGAGCTTAATCTCTTTTGCTACCAGTTAAACAATGTACAGACAGATATACACACATTTCTTTATTGAGCAAAAGAATTAGTAACTGTAGTCATACTGCTTTCTATAAGTAAATGTACATTCACATGTACATTTCTGTACATCTTCTCTGTTGCTGTCAATATAAACAACAGTCATATGGGCAGGAAAACACAGAAGGAGGGAACACAAAAGGAACAGGGATTCTTATGGGAGAAGAACTCCCAATTCAAAAGACAGAAGGAAGGAAAGCAAATGAATCAAAGCGAGATGAACCATATAGCCATTTAAACATGGTTAACAAGCTAATTAATTAGGAGACACTTTCTTGTATTTTTTGGAGGAGCTTATGAGGTCAACCTTGCCACATTTCTTGGTCTGAAAGCCAAATGTAGTGCTTTCTAAGCAATTAAAAAAATTGCTTGGAAATGGGAACAGCTTGGGCAGCAAGGTCTAGACTCACCACGATTTTAAGAAAAACAGGAAAAAAGACAGCAGAAAACCAAAAGAAAAAGCAGATACATGTTTAACGTAGGTTGAAGCATCTCTCTACAAATGCCTGTAGGCCAGCCAGCCTGTTGGCAGAACATGACCATCACCAGCTGCCTGATCAGTACCGAGAAGGTCAGAGTCAGGAAGGAAGGAAATGCAGGGCATAAGGAAAAGAAGCAGCAGCATGCCTAGGATTCACAGCTTGAAGAGGGAAGAGACTGTTCTGAGAGGCATCTATAAAATAAGAGATAGGAGGTGTAAAAGGAAAAAAGCTTAGTCAAATGAAGAGCAGCACTGAGAACTCCTGCAGAAGCTGTAAAGAGCATGACTCTCTTCTCCTCCTGCTAGTTGTATTACTGTACACACAGGAGAGAGTTTTCAGCCAGATAGCACCATCCTGAATGACGTACACATCAGAACAAAAACACAGCGCGTAGGCTTCCTGTGGATGCTTGTGATGCTGAGGCAGAGAACTAGATAGATCAAGATGTTCCCAGAAACAAGCTAGCATGGTAGGCAGCAGCATTGGTTGGGGTTTCTTACAAGCATCATAGCAGATAGATGTTTTAAAGCAGCAAGCAGAACAGTTTTGCCTTTCCAGGGAAAACCCGCCAAGCATGTAGCAGTCCTGGATAAAGTTTTAAGGGCTGTCACAAAATTAAGAGAAAGAAACCACAGTGTCAGGTTCAAGAAATAGGAGTCAGCCTCAATGCATTTCCAAAAGATCACAGCTAGGGCAGTGACACATCCGCAGGGCTTTGACACTGTGGGAGAGCAGGCTGGCCAGGGACTGAGCCAGCAGTGGGTTGGAAAGGAGTAATGCAATTAAGGCAACAGGCAAAAGAGGTGTTTGCAACAGCCTTACAAGGCATTTATCAAAGCCAAAAGTGAGGCTGCTTCAGTAAGTGATGCCAGGAATTCAGAGCGCCTGGACAGTACTTTTAACTGTGGGTTTGGAAAGGACAAGCAATGTTTTGGGACAGTCGAGCATTGACTACATATAAAGTACCAAGCTGCCTTAACCCAGTAAAAGGCTTACTTGGTTAAGGCAACTATTTCAGCAATTCCAGCATGCTCAGTTCTGGTAGTCTAATCAGTACAAAAATACCTGCCAACAAAGGCAGTACTGCAGGTTTCTGTAACTGAGGAAAAAGGGACACGACCAAGAACAGCATGAAAGGGTAGGGCGCGAGGCAATCAGAAGTATCTACTGGTAGACAAAAGATGTCCAGACATTTGAAGGACTCTGCTGGCTGGCCTCAGGAGGCAGCCATCTAACTAACTGGTTTTAAGTAACTTCCTGTTTAAGTAACAAGTCATGGGGGAACATTAGTCATGATACAGGGAACCAGAAAGCTATTATTT